AAACATTAGGGCCTATTTTTTGTATTAAGCCTTTTTTAACTATTAGGACCTTTCCAAAAGTTTCAGACTTTTATACATATAAATTAGTTTTACAATAAAAAGAATATGTATAATTTACTAATGATTCACAACATTACAAGCACTTATTAACATACGTCTTAAGATTTAATAAAATAGGATAACGTATATAAATGATTCTTTGATTATATGATACTATTTTGTTAAGTTTTCTTACTATTAAAATTATAAAATAATCACCAACTTTCCATATGTTTTAAATTTATTTTTTCAAAAAAAATTTACGACCGTTTAAGTTAAATGTTAACTTATTGGTTAACTGCTTAAACTACTGCTCGAAAATGATTGTTTTGAAGCACCTCCATAAATTTAAAAGAAAAATCTGACAAGAAACTTGGAGAGTAGCCTTTCCAGCTTCATTTCACAACCATGTGCAGGTAAATATTTTTTTAGCAGGTTAATATTTAGTTTAAATGACCGTCAATTTTTAATAGAAAATGACGAGTTTATAATATATGAATAGTCGGATTACCGTTTTATAAATTTTAAATAGTCAAAAAACTTAACAAAACAATACCTATAATCGGAACCATTTATATACTTTAAAACGTATCATAAATGTTAGTATAGAGACTAACAAATAAATAATAACTTATTCTCTTTATTTCATTGAACTTTGCAATGAACCAAAACTCAAATGAAAAACATTACAAAAAGAAAAATTAAAACAGCTTATTGTTTTATTTGTAGTGAGAAGTAAATTATTTTCAAAAGTTATGCAAAGCCCTTATTCCTTGACTATAATCCCCATGCAAACCTTTGCTTTGTCCCGGCAGTATTCTGGGGTACATGATGGCCCCTTCAATGGAACTGTGCCCTAAACCAATAAGGTGTCCGATTTCATGCAATGCCACGGTCTCCAAATGATATGAACCACGATTCGCAGCCACGGACCATGGTTCGTCAGCATCGTAATGGAACCTCCCATCGGTTGGTCGAAAAGCATGAGCCAAGGTTCCACCGGGTCCATCAAAAGGGAACCCGTCTCCATGGTCATGACCTTCGAAGCTAACCGATATATCGGCATTTACATAATCCTCAGTCCTCGAAAACCTGAAATGTGTATTCTCAACCCATGTTTGAAAAGCTCTTACAACCGGGTTAACGGCATCGGCTCGAGTCCCCGGAAGAAATGCATATGTTAGACTGTACTTCGAAGCTGGCCATTTCGGTTCTCCTGGAAAAAAACGAATAATGCGACACTGTATGAAACGATTTCGACACCCGTTTTCGGCCAGACCGCATCCTCGAAGTTCCATCGATGACATCTGCAACCCCACATCGCGGCGATATCATCTTGGATACGGTATCGACATCCAACCTTCCGGTTGCTTTCAAATTATAATTCAGCTGATAAGTTCTAACGGCGGACTCTATCAACTCATCGAAATTGTCATCATCGGCGTGAGTTCGGTTCTTATAACTCAAATACCCGAATTTTTCGAGGTGTTTTTTGAGTTTATGGACGTCTTTAAGGTTGTCTCCCTTATGACATCCTTGAAGATGTCGAAGAAAATCGAACGGCGATGTGCTTTCGTGTTTCGAATATGCAAAAACAGCCTGAAACATGAAGAAAATGAGAAGGTAAAATGAGAAGAAGAGAAGAGATTTGGTTCCCATTATCATTTTGTATAATCGGTAGATGCTTAATGGCTGATGAAATTAGCACGTATTGTTAGCCTATTTATACCCATATGATGTTTTCGTTTGATAGTAATTTAGGGTTTTACGAGGACTTAGCAAATGAGGACGCTCTTTAACGTGTGAAGAAAAATATCTCAATTAGGAATTTCTGGTTGACGTGGAATTGACTTAACGACTTATTTATGCAATGACATTTCAAAGGAAGAAATTTTGCATGCATGACCGTCGTTCGTTTAACAAGCATCGGTCTTCTTTCCCCGGCAACGAAACCGTTTAGGGTGCAAATGAATTTTCAAAGTCAATACAATCGATGATGGTACAGTTTAACGGTATTCTTTTATCAATTTTAATAATTTTTTAAAAATTGAGGTTTAGTTTACTTCTGTCTCTTTCTTACTGTCATCTTGCACATTTATAAGCTTTTAATAATTCAAGGACTCCATTTTTGGGATGTGAATGGCTGGCCACACATGAGCCTTTCAATGGATACCTAACTAGTGGAAAGATATCAAAAAGAAAAAGTTAATTCAAATTTTGCTACTTGAACTTAATTTTTTAGTTCAATTTGGTACTTAAACCGTTTTACCTGATTTAATACGAAATTGAACTTTGAAACTAAATTTAGATACTAAAATATATGTTTAACATAGAAGAAACCATGTTTGAGGTGGTAAAAGGTTAGCTTGGACTGATATATCTATGCATTAGGATTATTATGTTTTACGATATATATATCCGGTTTTAACTAGTTTGGGTTGGAGTAATTTCAAATTTAAATAAGCTCGAATTTAAATATTTCTACATTTAAATTTGAATGTTATTCGAATTAAATTATCTTGGATTTACACCGTTAAAAAATAAATATTTTAGATTTTGACTATTTTAAAATTGGATTGGTGGAGTTTAAATGTATTCAAATAATTTTGATGTTAATTTAAATTTAAATATTTTTCGAATTAAATTATCTTTGATTTAGACCGTTAAAAAATAAATATTTTAGATTTTGACTATTTTAAAATTAAATTGGTCGAGTTTAGATGTATTCAAATAATTCTGATGTTTTAACCGGTATAGATTTACTTTATTTCAATTGTGATAATTTGATGATAAAAACTAAAATTAAAATTTTAGAAATCAAATAAATTTAATGTAAAGTCACAAAATGCTTCTATTTATCCATTAAGTATCAATATATTGGTGAAAAAATGTCTTCCACTCGGATCGAGTCTTGAACAAAATTTTTCAACCCAACTTAGTTTAGGGCTTATGTTTTTATGTTAATTATTATTATTATTATTATTATTATTATTATTACTATATATTTATGTTTATAACATATATAAATATAAAATTCATAATTTTTAATCAATCAGGATAATTATATCGTACATTATATTATTAAATTAATAATATAATATAATATTAGTAAAAATAATATTTTAATGTATTTCTATTTTTTTTGAATAATTATATTTATAGATTTTATATAAGTTAATTAAATAAAATAATAATCATATCCAAATAGACTTTGTATTGATATTAAATTAAACTTATTAATAGATTAACCAAGTGACCTCAGTGATTAAGAGATTGTTGTTATTCGTTGAGATTTCAAGTTCGAGCACCGTATACGTAGAGGTATAAGCGTTCATTCTCAAATAATTAAAAATCTTTCAACATATGATATCTTATATTCTTCTCAGAATTATTGAAAAAAAAAATTAAACCTATTAATTTCTATTGATAACCACTTAATTAATATTATAATTATATATTTAAAATTAAGGAAATCACTATAAATTTAACTTTTTAATATGTTTTTACACGTTTCTAAAAATTTACAATCGAATGTCTTCCAAATCTTTTTTTCCCCTTTTAATTGGATCAAATTTTAAATAAATTTGAATGAATTTTTGGATTCGAACTTATTTTATCACCTCTAAAACGAATGGCTGAGATGATTGGGGAAACGTTAGAAAAAGAAAATAATGGGCCGATTAATGAAGCCGAAGCACACACACAGGCAGTCCGGCCCAGGGTTAAAAAATTCAGCAATTAGGGTTTCGCGTCGCCATGCTTCACTATAAATACATCTCATTCCCTACCTGTATCGTCGTTCTCTCTCTCTTCCCTTTGTAGTTGTTTTTCTATCGTTTTGTTTTGAAACTGGCAATGGGAGATTGGTGTTTTGGGAAATGCCTCTCCTTTCGGCTGCAAGAATTTTGAGATCTGAAATCGATTTCTTGATGGCTTTGTTCTAGAGGCATAGATAGATTTCCATCCAAAGATTGGGTTTTCTTTCATAGGCCCTTGCTTCTATGGCTCCCTTTCTTTGGTACATCTCTATTTGTTTACGTGCTGTTGTTGCTTCACTTTTAGGAATGATTTAGGGTTTAAGAATTTTAGAGGGTTTTCTACCAATAATTAGGGATTTTGAGTGGGTTTTTGGGAATTGCCTCTCCTTTCGGCTGCAAGAATTTGATGACTCCCTTTCTTTGGTATATCTCTATTTAGGGTTTAAGTTTTGTCAATAATTTAGTTCTTTTTTATTAATGATAATGAAATCTCTATTTTAATCCTTCTGCTATAACCCCAATAATGAAATCGCTACTCAGCTAACTTCTTTCTAAATATCCGTTTCCCGATCATTAATATAATTTTACTTCAATTAAAATTCTAAAATGTTTAAAAACATTTTCTATTTTAAAAATATAATTTTTCTACCTCTGTTTAAAAAATTCAATTTTATTTTAATCTTATTACTATAGTTAATACATTTGTTAATTTTGTTTGCATTTTAAAATATTTTATGAACCAACGATTGTAAGAGATAGTTATTTAGGTTTGAACACCAATAATGGCAGGAGAATTTGAGTTTGTATTGTCAAATTATTAAGAGTAAAGCAGATACAACCACTAGTAATCTTCTTAGATTAATCAAAAAAATTATATGATATCAATCTAAAACCTAGAGATGTATAAAGATTTGCACCACAATAATATACCAAAGATATGAAATATCAATTCTTAAACATTCCAATTTCGTCTCTCATTCTAAACTAATCTTTAAACTTTTGGATGTTTTACTTTCATCCTTTAATTTTAAGTTTCCTTCGAAATTGGTTTTCAAACTTTTGAACATTTTAAGTTCATCCCAAATTATAAGTATATGCTAATAACATTCCTTATTAGTTTGAGAATGAGTTGAGTCAATTTTCATGACCAACTTAAAAGGATTGTTCGATATCTGTACCATTATTAATTGTTGCAAACATTCAATAGTAATACCCTGCTCTACTCAAATATCCACAAATTTATGGAGGAAGATAATGTATTCTAAAATAATATCAACAAATGAAATTTAACTATTAAAGCATCAAAACATTCAATCACATAATTCACGAAGCTAAACACCAAAGAAGCTGTGGAGGAATACCTGACAAAGAGGCTCCTGCACCCAAACTTGTATACGAAACAAACACCCGAGCCACACCAGCTAAAAGGGTCAGATAGATCCATTCATCGGCGAAGGCCAGCTAGAATTAGCATCACCGATTGCAACGGTAGCAAGGGATTTAGAAGCCCATGCTCTAGCATTCATTGCACCTTGCAAGTTGCTTCTCTTGCAGGGCTCTTTCAAGGAAATGAACTGAAATTTTCTTTTCAGATAAGCCATCGGATGTTCCAACATGGTCCCCAACTTCACCTTTCGATTCAGCCGTCTCCAAGTGAAGTGAGCGAATACTAGTAAAGTTGGATACAACAGGTATAGCAACCTTAAAAGAACAAAAGCGGTGGCTAAGGCCAAGTACGTCTCTTGTTGAAGTAAATTCTGTGGAGATCTTGCCCAGGAGAATGAACAGCTTTCCTGCTCAGTGATATTGTGCTTCTCATGTCGGATTGTGTCCAGCAGTGTTCTATCCGGAGATTTGTTCTTAAAGCCTAGAACAAAGTAACATCTTCATGAGAAAGCTAAACAAGATTCCTATAGGATTATACAATCTTATGAAGACCGTACATGGATAAGATAATGGACGATGAGATGCTACAAAATTGCCTTGCATACATACACCAAAAGCAAAGCGGAAATGAGGATGGTTTACAGTTCAAAAACAACTTATCACTCGTATCGTATCGAATCCATAATCTGGTGCACTAACACAGCCAAAATGCATGGAGATAAATGGAGCACCAGACAGGCGATCACAATTCACTGGCTAAGACCAGAGAATTATGAACAGAAACAACACAACAAAGTATAGAATGGAGAATGAAAACTTTGAATAGAAGTATGCCATTAGTCAATAACTCAACATAATATTGATCTCCAGAATCATAGAAACTCAATAATTGAAGAAACAATGGCCTTACCAGTGACATCATTATAGAAAGCACTGACTGATTCAACAGACCGGTTTCCATGATAATGTACGCGCATCCTAGAATTTAAAAGGAAAAGAGTAGGAAACCCATATACTCCATACTTCGAGAGTATGCTGAAGAATTCAAACACCACCACCATTCATTAGTTTAATGAGATATAGCATTGCAAAAACCAACACGAAAGTTATTTGATAGCAAACCTGGGCCTGACAGCTGATTCTTTTATAGCAAAATGAGGAATGGAAGGATAGGAAGATGAAATGATCGTGAAGCTCGGCCTAAAAGATCTTGAAAAAGGGCACCAAGATGCATAGAAAAGAACTGCTACAAATTCATGGCTGTTCCTCTGGACCATGTCAAGCGCCCTTTGCAATGAAATCTCATCTCCCTACAAAATAGACAAAGAGAAAATAATTAAAATATGTATAAAAAAAAAGAGTATAATCAGAACTCAGTGCAGTTGTAACAAGGACTTGATCTCAGAAATGTTAGTTCCTTAAGTCTTTGAACCCAGAGCCAGGGATTTCGCTATAACATTCGCTATTGCTGAAGTCGCGATAAATGCGACCGTATCCATAATTTAAATTCCTACCCAGAGCAATAGAATCATAGAAAGATTATTTATCTTTCTACAGCAAAGTTCACTCTCGGAAGCAACCAAAGTGAAAAACCCTATATCTATCCCTAATTGATTGCGTATCTATCAGCTCACAACTTGAAAAAAGGCACAAACTTTAACTAAAAATTCTCTAAAACTTAGTTCAAAAGCATACACAGCATATGATCAAATCAGCCAATGCATAAAATTGAAAGGGAAAATTACCCAGATTAAAGAAAATGAAAAATTATCAAGGTACCTCGGTGACTCCAACGAAATCGATAGACTCGTTAAATTCAGAGTTAATGGAGCAAAAGGGGCCACCAAAGTCAAAGACCGCTTCAAGAACGGAATTCTTGGGACACATCGGAACCCTAACGGGAACGGAGGCGGGGCACGTTAGCCTACACCACAAAAACAATGTTAGGATCCTCATTTCCCATACCTTCTTACCCATCAAAGACGGATAACGGGTCGCGGATTCTGGGAACTTCATAAATTTGTAATTTCAACAGATAAGAGAAGCAGTCATGGGAAATTTTATGGACGGATCAAAGCGTCAGAAACCGAAAGAGTTGAAACGAAAGCAGATTTCTGCGCAAAAGACCGTGCTTTTATATGTTGGTAAAATTATAGACTCCGTGCAAATGGATAATTATAAAAACTGCAGATTAGTCCATTGAATTAAACTGATTAAATTACAAAAATTCTTTCTTTTTCATTTGCAGGAATAATCATTTTATTTTAAGGGAATTATCAGTCCATCGTTTGCTTTCTTGGATTATTTATTCAGCTTTGTTCGAAAAACATTGTTTATTCAGTTTAATAAGTTTCTTAAAAATAAAATAAAATTCTACATTTTCATCGAAGAATAGTTATTTTTAATTCAAATTTTGTCTTTTTTTTTTTTACTTTTATTTGGTGCAATACGAAAGATAATTAATAAAAAATATATTTATAATAATTTTATTTTTTAATCAATGTTCGAGCATTAATGTGAGCTAGTGGTGGATAATTTATCTCGAGTTTAGGATATGTGTGACTTCCTTTAGAAGAATTTTAGTTAATGATTCATCGAGAGAGAAAAGTCTTAAACTCGCAAGTTGAGTAATTTGTGGTGAATATTCAACCTAATTTTCTAAGTTCAATTTGATGATATAAAACCATAGAAAAAGTAATAGAGACTTTACATATCCATATGACGAAACATATACATACAAAAGGTAAAAACTTTGCTTTTAATGAATTAATATATTAAGTTTTGGACGATCCTAGTAAGAATGAATCGATGAATTCACTTACGTAAAAGGATGAGTTTCCTTACTCTTAATGAATTTATATTATTTGATCTTAGTGGTTCTATTGAGATGTATTTCATGAATTCGCTAAATTAAATTTTAAGAAGATGAAGTTATTAAGTGTTCTTAATGATTACATTGTCTTAATTAGGATGTTATATATTGAGATAGACTTGACAAAATAATTTACGTAAATATGAATGATTGATCGCTATCACATTGAGTCATTTTCCTAAAACATTCATCAAACTCGTAAGAACTATTGGTTAAATTATTAGTCTACCATAAAATTAATTTGAAAAAGAGATTAATTGTGTGTTATGAGCTTATTCTTATTTTAATAAATTTTAAATTTATTCTTATAAGAGTAAATTTATCATAAGCTCTCCAATAAAAAGCCACCCTAAGCTCTTTGTTTGATGCTCGCAATCATTTGGTTAAACATTCATCAAAACTAAGACTATTGGTTAAATTATTAGTCTACCATAAAATTAATTTGAAAAAGAGATTAATTGTGTGTTATGAGCTTATTCTTATTTTAATAAATTTTAAATTTATTCTTATAAGAGTAAATTTATCATAAGCTCTCCAATAAAAAGCCACCCTAAGCTCTTTGTTTGATGCTCTGCAATCATTTGGTTTATTTATTTCTTTTTTTGGGGGATTTTTTTCAAAAATCATCGGTGATCGGTATATATATCGATCTAACACCGGTCAGATTATATTTTCTGATCTAACACCCGTAGCAGTAAAGCGGGCCTCCTGAACCGCGCTATATGCTGATTTGGCGCCACGTGTAGTATAGCGCGCCTCCTGTACCGCGTTGTACACTGAGTGGATTACACGTTGGGTATAGCGCGCCCCCTGCTCCGCGTTATACGCCACGTAGGGGTATAGCGCGGATAAGGGGCCGCGCTATATGCCGTACCAAAATTATATTTAACGCGGTCCCTGATCCACACTATATAATAATTACATATAACGCAGGTACTGCGCCTTATATGTTTATAAATACCTCCGATTCTCGCATCTCTCCTCACATCTCCTCGCATCTCTCCACTCTTATAAATTAATACAACAATTCCGTCAACGAGTAATAATTCTGGCAATCTTCTTATATTTGATTTAGAAGTTCGTGAGATTTTTTGTTATAAGGTAATTTTGTTATAATTTTTTAATTATACTTATTGTTTATTATCATTATTTGAAAAAATATTATACTAATTATTTTTAATTAATTTTTATGTTTGTAAAATTGAAAAGCGAGAGCATACGTCGAAATAGTTTTGCGGTGCGGGTAAGAATATAAAATTATATTATTTAAATTATTTACGTTGATGTGTAAAAAAAAATTTGTGTTATATTTTCGTTCATATATAATTTATTTAATCAGGTTTGTTTAAGTTATTTTTTTGCGTTGTTTTCGTATCAAATGAGCGTGTTAAAATATCATTCAAGAGAAACATAACTCTTGAGGAGCTGATAACGAAGATTTCGAGGAAGATTCATGTTGAAAGTAACAGAAGAATGTCGTCGTTGCAGTACAGATTTCCAACATCATTGTTGCCATTAACTTATACAGCGTTCGAACTTTCGAACAATGATGATGTTCAAATGATGGTTGAAACTCAAAGTAATTATTCAGATGCTACTATTGAGATGTATGCATATTTTGTTCAAGTGTGTGCTGTTCGGGGTCAATCTTTAAGCTCACACTATGGGCTGGCTGAACAAGTTGATCAAGTTGACAGCCCGACTACAGTAATGTGTAATGATTTTAATGCCATAATGGGGAGACATTCATCCGCAACTCCTTACGATATGAACCGAGGTGGGTCCACGAACAATCCGTATGGAAACACCGCGTCCAGTTCAAGGGGAAAGCATTCATTTGCAAATTTCTTTGACCATATAGAGATGCCATCGACGCAACCATCTGTGCAGTTCTATTCGAAACGATGGCTTCAAGCTCCAGGGGGAGGTATATGACTGTGAGCTTTTTCGATCTCAATGTCGATATGCCTTCCAGTTCAAGGGGAAGGCGTGCAAGTAGTAGGTTATTCGACCTAAATGTTGAGAGCATGGAGGAACCATGATCTCCACCAGAAGAACCGCTTCGTGAGCCTGGTGCGGATAGTGCTGAGACTGGACTATTCATTCACCCAGAATCACCGCAATTCAACTCCGATGATGATGAAGTTCCAGGAAATGTGGCACAAACTGACCCTCCTGCACACATGTAAGAAGCTGATTATGGTGCAATGTACGGGCCAGAATTTGCGGATATGCCTTATCTCGGTGACTATGGATATTACTCATCAATAAATAATGGTGAGTTATCTTTAGGCATGGAGTTTTCAAGCAAAGAAGAAGCGATGATGGCTATAAAAAATTACAATATCTGTAATTCTGTTCAGTCCAGAGTCAACCGATCAACGACCGAAAAATATGTATGCTACTGTGCCCGAAGCGAAAACGGATGCAATTGGATGGTTCACGTATCGAAAATGAAGAGGAAAAATATCATATGAGAACTAACAGTATACAACGGTCCTCACACATGTTATGTTGGAGGTGTCAACCAAGATCATCCAAACTTAGACTCTGAAGTGATATGACAAGCCATCATGCCCATGGTAAAAGCAAGCTCTCATATAACTGTTGCAGTGTTGATTTTAGCTATACAATCGCATTATGGGTACATCGTCTCCTATAAAAAAACTTGGTTGGCAAAACAAAATGCCATTGTCAAACTTCATGGCGAATGAGATGCATCTTACAACGAATTTTCAGGTTGGTTTAGGCTGGTACGGACGTTGAATCCTGGGATAATTGTGGACTTCAAAACCACCTATGCATACCATAATGATCGAGTTCTTCGTGATCGATGCCAATTCTACCGAGTTTTTTGGAATTACCCACAGTGCGTTAATGCTGCCAAATACTGCAAGCATGTGGTCCAGATCGACGGGACTTTCTTGTATGGAAAATACAAGCAAGGTTTATTATTGACAGTTGTCCAAGATGACAATTGCAACATTCTTCCAGTTGCTTTTGCTCTTGTCGAAGGAGAAGACACAAATTCTTGGGCTTTTTTCCTCCGAAATTTACGTGCACATGTTATCACGAGGGAAAAATCTGTGTCATTTCAGATCGCGGAGCTGGGATCAAAGCAGCAATGGAGACTTTGGGTCCAATGTGGCAACCACCCTTTGTTCAACATAGGTATTGTCTCTGACACATTGTTGCGAACTATCATGGAAGGTACAAGAAGAATGATGAGCGTCAATTAATTGTGCGCATGGGTAAGTGAAAGCAAGTTAGTAAGTTATATATTTTTTGATCATTTTAATTTTGCAAAGAAAGCAAGTTAGTAAGTTATACATTTTTTGATCATGTTACGAACTACTTCCTCGACGTTTAAATCAATGCTTCAAGATTTGCGGGCGAAGAACGAGGAAGGATACGATTACATCAGCCTCATCGATAAAGAAATGTGGACGAACGCATATGATAGTGGATATCGATATGGACACATGACGACCAACTTGGCTGAGGCAATCAATTCAACCTTAAATGGTGCACGTCATTTACCTGTAGCGGCTTTGGTAAAAACTACATATTTTCGTTTGAGGGCGCTTTTTGCGAAGCTCGGGGGACAAGCTCAAACCTGGATGCAAGGCGGTCATGTTTATCACCCTAGATTAGTTGCAGATCTACAGAAAAAAAATTGTTGCATCAAATGGAATGTCTGTAACAAGCATCTCTAGAAGGTATGAAATGTTTCATGTCACAGAGTTGCCGCGACCTCTTCAAGGGATTGAAGTTGTGTCGTTAAGAGTAAATCTAAGGGATAGAACGTGCGACTGCGGGTTTTTTCAAGCTCTGAATTATTCATGCTCTCATGTAAAAAATTAAATTAAATTTTACAAAATATTACTAATAATTTAAATTAAATTAAAACGTTAAAATGTTACCGTATCAGCAAAGTGTAGAGATATATGATTTCCATCCGAGCGAAGTAGACTGCCTTCCATTATATATCTGCAAAATAATTATATTAGTAAAATATTAAATAAAGTAAATACATAATAGTAAAAATATTATAAAATATACCTTAAAAAGATAGAGTATTTGAGAGAAATTTAGAGAATTTGAGAGAATTTGGTGTGATAAAAGTGATTGAGGATGAGAGTATTTATAGGGAGGATGGGGACGTGTAGGGTTGGGTATTTAGGGGTATAACGTGAAGTAAAAGTGCAATGTCACCGTA